GTAGGAGAAGAGACAATAGAACATACCCATTTTTATCCATGATGCAGCAAGGCTTTGCAAAAAACTACATGCTACAAGTACTCAATTGCAAACGGAATAGATTTTGGCCACTACAACAGGCTCAAAGATTTGACAGCATTGCACTTACAGGAGCAGCTAATTGTATCAAAAAATAGGCTATATTCTGCAACAATCAAAGTATTCCCAAATGGACAAGGCTTTCAACAAACACCTGGCAGGAACTCCATGAGAGGGAACCAAATTATTATCTCTCATGATTCTGTTGAGAAGGTCAATCATGTTTTGGTTTCTAAGGAGGACCTTGACGATATTATGAAGGTTCACTTCTAGGATGAGAAAGGCAGAGACGATGTGTTGGCCCGGAAAACTTACGGAACATCCAAGCTATACGATTGTAGCAGCGTACTGCAACAATTGTTTGTAGTCCTTGGCCGGTTGAGTCCATACTATAGCCATATCAGACAGGATACAATTGATAACCTGGTTGAAAAAGTTGAGCAGAGTGTCAGGGAGAAGAAGGACAATCCAATATTCATCAGTGACAAGCAGAGTCTTCTGCATGAAAAACGTCTTGGCTCTGATGTTGGTGGTGTCCATCAGGTGGACTCCATGTCAGATAATCACCATGATTACTTTGGAGGAGCATCGACATCACAAATTGAGGGTTCCAGCTATCCAAGTAGCAATGAGGATCTCCCTCTTAAGACACATTATGTCAGCTCATCACCAGATACCTTGCTGCAAACGGAGAGCAACCGCAAGCAAGTTGAGAATGATGCTATTCAAAACATGATGAAAAGTGTTGATGAAAGCAGGACCGTGAGCCACAATGTTGTACAGGGATGGTTTGGAGAACATGAATCAGAAGGAAGAGACAGGCATAACAACTCTTTTGTCATATCACATTGATGCCAAGACCCAATCAATGAGTTCTTGCCAGATGATGACGATGCTGGCGTGTATCTTTCCATGGCTATTCTCTATCAGAAAAGCTTATGGAAGACATTCTGATAACCTCAACAGCGAGGAGTTGAACCATTTGCTGAAACAGTTTAGTATGATTCATGGTCAGGACAGAGGAATGTTGGATTTGCAATCATAAAAAGTGCAAGCCGCAAATGTTGAAAACCAGATAAGGCTCGTGTGCTGGCCGTTTTGGCAACCCCACAGGAAAAATGCCAAGCTTTAGAAAAATGCTTCACTTTTCCACGACACAACAATACATTGCCATAATGTCAACTTGCCTTCCAAGTCTTTACTATGCTAGCAATCATAATAAAATGACTTAATATATCAACCACCGGACCGTCAAATAAGCCATGTGCCATTTGCACGTTCATTTCACAACCTCGACGTACAGAAAGAAGCCCAAGATATCACATTGAAATGGGTGTCAAAGATGGTGCTGCATATTGTCGTCCATCACAAGGCTTTACACACACAGTCAAGACGATTTGCACCCGCCTTAATGATAAGTTTCCTGCAGGTGGTCCTCACAATCCTGTTGTCGGTGTCGATATCTCGTGTTGGCTCATAGCTGCTCCTTTAAGCACAAGCCAGCTGGTTCAACAATTCTTTATGGAAAGGAAGGTTCCAGTCACCCATGTTGTCAATTACGTTTTTAAGCATGTTGATCTTTTGATAAGAAATGGATTTGGTGTCCTGCTAATATTTGATCGAGCTTCAAATCCAACAAAGAAGGCAACCAACAATGATAGGAGTTCAGTCGTAACAGATGCCATAGAATGGATCGAACGGATGTATTCCAATCCCAACAAAACCAATCTTCAAAAACTTTCCAAGCTACAACAAACTGCAGTGGAAGTGCAAAAAGATGTCTTGCATGAATGATGGATATGGTTTTTGTCCGTCTGGGATATTCCGCATTTTGGTGTGAATCTGAACTGGAATCGGGGCCTGACCGGCTTGCTCACTCCTTCTGCACGGGGATCTGTGATCCGACATCATCACTGCTCGTGGAATTCATTCTTGGTC